ACTGCTTTACAAATACTTGGCAGACAGGCTCTGCAAAGGTTCCTATGGTGTAAGTGCACTAATGCCACCATGAGCAAAGCAACCAAGACAATTTACAACTGCTGATTAGTTTAGGAGATGTGTAACAAAGAAAATGAACAAGGCCACTGATTTAGATCCTACAATCTGGTCCGCTTGGTTAATTTTTACATTTGTGAGATTATTACCTATGTAGTTACACCAGCTCAAAACACATGCAAAAATATAGATTTTTGTATATACGGCTAAAGGGCGATCGTTTTTTTAAAGCTTAACATTCACTTTGGTGGAGGGGTTTATATTGTGATGGCACTTCACAAACAAACATTTTACAGACTGCTCCTTCAAAGAGAAAGCATCAGAGTTATTTGCATTCCTGTTAAACATGTCCCCGTAAGTGTATGGTTTAACAACTCATCATCGCCGAACGGTGTGAAAAACCACAAAGACCAGATGCATCACCCACTGAAAAGAGCAGGAAAAGTTTCTCTGTTTGCATTAATCAAATAAAACTCTTCTCTCCCTATACCACGAAAGCGGAAGCGGAAAACATCAATAAATAGCTATCATGGCTCTCTTATTTATGACTTCCTTCGTGGTCCTATCAACCTTTAAACTGTTTCTGTCTTGTAACCCAGCTGTTGGAGCCTTCTAGCGATAGACATGTGGGGGTAGGGGACGGGACAACCAAAAGAGAGCTTTCCTTCTCAAGCTCTCAGCTACAAAAGAGAGGGCGTAAGAACCTCACAATGAAGCGTAAGAGGATATCAATAGACTGATAACAGAACTCCAATCATATATAGATGTACACAAAATTGCAGATAGCTTTGCTGATAATATCAATGTGGCGCTGACCATGAGAAGTTTATGACTCGGTGAAGAGGACAAGGGGCAAACCTTGACTGCAATCACTTTTTTTATAACATGCTTATGTTATAGAAGCAAACCTGTTGATACTGTATCAGCCATTTCTCTATCTCCAGGGTCGATAACATGTAATCATTGCATCGCGAAAGAAAACTTTTTTTACATTTTCTTTTTATGTGATTAAGGGGAAAGTCTAATACTGCCTTTATGTTACAGAAAAGTGTAATATATAAGTGTAAAACAGTATCTGAGAATAAAATCTGTCCCTCAGCTTGCCGCTCCATCCACTCGCCCTGCAGGCCAGTGAACAGCGCTGCTTGTTTCCCCTGCAGGCAGTGGGGTGGAGAACAGGAACAGGGTGTGAGGAGAGCCCACGCCAGGGGTTCCCATAAATCAGGGCCCTTCTGCCCCCAATGTCCACCAAACCAACAGGGACTGGATGATCCAAATTCCTGGGGGTTAATTCACCAAGTCGCTCCCTAAATATCCTCCTGTACACCGTTGTTTGCGAGGCCTTTAACTAACACTCTGCACTGTGAGGGAATGGAAAGCTTACAACACGACAGAGCCTATACAACATATACTGTCCTCTTTAGTGAAGCAGCAGTGTGACCTTTGCACATAAAACACAGAGGTTTGTGTTAACACCGAGCAATTATAGCACTGATTGAATTTACATCACACTATCATTAATATGACCTTTAATCTCCGTAATCATAAAAACACTTGCTCTAATCTGCAGATAGAAGACCCTTTGAGTGGCAACACAACTGCAGCAGGCTACATCCTGGCTACTAAGGCTGGTGACCTCAAACCAAAGAAAATCGCAGTCAACATTTTATCAGAAGATCTTAAAATAATGACTAAAACTTACTTCAAAGTGTACCAATAAGCACATAGGATAAAAAACGAACAAGGCATTTCCGAGATGTTATAAAACATATGAGAGATATTTTTAACATGTGTGTAACTGGCTCAAGATTTGTGGTGGCTCAAGACTTAAATTCCAAGCATAAGGCCAAAATACTTCACAAAGAAAATAAGAGACTGTGATTTACTGATTAAGGATTCCTTAAAAAATGTAACAGTATATGTAGTGCTATGTTTTATTATGGTAACAAAATGTGGAAGCACTTAACTACGAATCAAGAACTTACAGTATCCTCACCAGATGTTTTAATCAAATCTCTCTGAAAGCATATATTTTAGTCGTATCTGCAACATGATTTGTTCCATGACTCAAATGAAGTTCTTTGTTTAACTCAAGCTTCTTTCTCCAGCTGTTTCTGCATCCCCTTTCTCCCACCCACACACTGTAACACAATCCTGCTCCGATAACACATTTGTTGTTTAACAATCTGTACTTTTAAATAGTTTTTTTTCTCCACTAAACAAACTTGCTGTCACTAAATAATGAGAAAATGACTGCCTTAATGACTGCAATCCTTTGGACTTGAATAACATGTGTGTCGTGTCATTTAAAGAAAATACTTCAAGGCATTAATAAGAGGTGCTATCTTGTTTTTAAGCAAGCTCAGCCTTTGCCAATGATAACAAACAACATTATGAGCAATTCAAGATTACTCAGATTAATTTGAATAAAAAACAAAACACTATTGAAGTAATCATAGTAGAAAAATGGAATGAAAGATTGAGATGTTTTTTTGAAGATGATATTTTGTTAACATTTTCCAATATTACATTTCTTGTACAAGTATCTATCTTTTAAATACTTTTTTTTTTTAAATGCCCCCTTATTAGACGATTTCAAATCAAAAACACATGTTATAATCTTGCTCTCCAGGCAGTAACCTAATTGGATGTTGGTATGTATCTTAAGATGCAATGTAAAATAAAACAAACAAATATATTGATAGAAAATAAAATTATTCACATCGTTAGAAATATTTAAAAACTCTAACTATAGTTCTAAACTATGTCACACCCTTATTTGCACGTATACTAGAAATACTGGCTCAAATAATTTGCAACATAAATTATCAGCGTTTATCCAAGGTTTATGCAATTTAGAAAATGACACTATTATACATTTCATTCAACATTGATTATAAAACGTCTTATGTCGGTTGTTGTTACGTTTAAATGATCGTATCTGGGGGTTATTGGTTTATACATTAAAATCTGCACTGAGCACGTGTACGCAGAAGAAAGTAAAAGTAGGAATCATTCAATTTATCAGAAAGTTTAGTCCGGATAAGTTGTCTCAGTTGCAGCTCCGAGTGAGCTTCTCTATCTGATATTAAAACTTTAGCTGCTGACACACATTAATTGCAGTTTAAAATAAGTTTGGGTTGAAGAAACACACATGATCAAATAAGTGCGAGCAGAGGACACGGAGTCGTTACGCGCAAAGAGAGAGGGTCGGCGGCGGCGGAGCAGAAACAGACCTTGGTGTACTTGATCTCCGGGTTGGGCACCGGGGAGGGCATCAGATGGAGGGATGCCATGAGAGCAGCGGGGTCGCTCTTCACCTCTCCGGGGATCTCGATCTTACTGGAAGTCATCTCGGCTGTGTCTCTAGTCGTCTGCCTGCTGAGCCTCTCGGGGTTTTTTTCTAAAGATTTCTGATTAGGACTTTGGGTTTCTTCCTGGGTTTATAGCCAGGTGTCAGCCGCGGTTCATTTTGATTGGGCGAAGAAAAGGGCTGTCCTTCTGAAAATTAAATTCATGCATTTACATAAACGACCTCAACCATGCGTGTTAAGGAGGAGAAACACATCCACCCCACCCACCTCACACTCCCGGTACACTCGGTTTACACTGCTTTTACCCAACAACAGACGCTTTTACGCAGTAATTGATAGTTTTATAACTAAACAAAGAAGAAGAAAAACACATTTCCATGACTTATTAAGAGTTTAGATTGGGAGATCATGTAAATATGTGTAATGATAGGCTTTGAGTGTTACATGAAACTGAAACCTATTTGTCAAGGTTTAAACACTTAGAAAAGACTGTAGCCTATAGTTCCACAAACTTCCCTTTAGCATCATATAAAGCCTATTCTCTTCTGGCAAAAACAATCTCGCCATAAAGTTAATGTAGTAGGCTAGCTGTTTTAGGCTTTGGATGGATTCACATTCTCTTTTTTAACTGTTGTTGTTGGATTGTAGAAGTTAATATCTCAATTTTCTGGAATGCCTCCCTCATATTGGCATAAAACTGGAGATTGAAGGTTAATGATTTACCTTAAAGTTAACAAACAATTCACCATAAAGAAGTATTTACTCGTAAGTCTCATTCTTACATCATCATTAGCCATTTCCTAAGTGCCACAAAGGTGTCATCCCACTTTCCTCGGCTCACTATCACCCTGGGCTCTTTATTTGCCTAACACAACCTCCCCACGGTCTAAGATGTTGTGTAAATGCGGACTAAAGGGATTGTTGCTACTTGCTGGGGTGTTGTTGGCAGAGATGTGTCCCGCAGGTGATAATTCCCCCCAGCGCCTCCTTTAAATCTCCCAATAAACATCCACCAATTAGCTGTGAGTCTCCCAAAACTAAAGGAATTAAAGCAAAGCCACGCATGTATTAACACATACACAACAACTGCATTTCTTTACACATGCATGAAGCCACTCAGGTAGAGGGGAAATAAGTAGGCTAGTTAATTTGTGGTTTAGTCTGTGAAATGAAAGCGAATGCAGAACAATGTCTTGCATAGGAATAAGAACGTAGTTTGAAAACTCGGGAGTATTGATATCCACAGAGTAATTTTCTCATTCATTTTAGATTTCATAATCTGAGCCTCTTGACAGGACAAAGGAGTGTGGAGACAGATGCAGGCCCATCATTTGCAAATCCCCGCAGGATGCTGTTTCTCCGTCAGCACATCTCCCTTTTTTCACAGCATGGGCGACACTATCAAAGTGTCTGTTTCACATCAAAGAGGACGTGCCTGAAACGGTGACATTGATTAATGTATTGAAAACATCCCATCCTCAGCCTGTCGCCTCACCTTTTCACAGAGCACAGTGAACGGGAGATAAGACAAACCGGGGGAGACGGTGTGACAAACTGCTGAGCTCAAATGTATTCATGGGGCTCCCTCTGTTGGATGGACCGAGCCTCGGACACTCACACTCACATATGCACCGTTTTAACAGTATTTACAAAAGAGCCGTTTGATAAGGTAAATGGGATGGGAATGGTTACAACATAGAAGAATGAAGGAAAGGATAATGGAAATATGACTGATAAGTGGAACCACAACGCTGCAAACAGGTGAGTGTGAAAACGTTGCAAACTTTCGACAGAACAGAAAAAGTGCCAAAAATGCAACGAGCTCTGGGAGGCGTTTTCCCGGACAAGTTTTTACAAAAATAATACCAAAGTAAGTATTTAAGGAATTATTGAACTGGGGGGTTTATTTAAAATAGATGTGTCATTATTTAGTTAGTTTTCAATTAACGTACAATACAAATAAATTAGATATACAAATAGCATATCCAAAATATAATTAGGATGTTATTTTTAGGTCGTCTTGTATATTATCAGCTCAGAATTGTTCTGTTATATTTACTCACATAGTCCATCGTACTTTGTGGTTATGTGTTGTTACCTTAACATGTAATAAGCCATATAAGACTCGGGTGGATGAGGGCTGCAGAAAAAGCGTGTGAAAACTGATCCTCGCTTTAAATCACAAATATAGCTAGCCTAATTTTTATTGAATAACTTGGCAAGTTTTAGTTTATCAGAAGGCTTACGCAGCCTAATGCATTTGACTATAATTAGGCTACTTAAAAATAATCGTGGGTTTATTAAAACGCACATGCCAGCCGATTCATACGTGTTATAATGACAAAAGATAAAACCTTACATAGGCCTATATACACACATTTTTAAATTAATACATGTTTTATGAGCTCAAACTAGTTATTAACTGAATTGAGTCAACTATGTTTATTAAGAACATATTTATTAAGTGGTTAAATAATCTGTGATTCATGAAATTGAATATTATCATCATGGATTTGTGTTGTAGCCTACTGTACAGACTGTTGTTTTAAAAAATATATAAAAAACTCAATGTTAACTTTTAATTGGCCTGAACGTTTTTTAAATGAGCTTTACCAAGCTTTAGATTGTTCTTCATCGTCCCAAAATTTGATTTTAATGGACTAAAGACATCAACAGTTAGTCCTATTTTCACTCCTTGTGTTTCAGTAAGGAAGGTGCTATAGTATACTCAATATAAAGTACATTTTGTGATCAGAATAGTGACTGTTGGTTTACAATTTTGAAGGTGATTGTTGGTGATAACAGTTATCTTAGTTTTAGGAACAATTCATTTTATGTGAGTTGTGTCATATCTTTTTTCAATTCACATTTCATGAGTTTCATGACTATCAGTTCTACTAAAAATGTAATTTGGGATAAATAAGTTCTCGCCCATTTTCCAAGGTTTTATTTGCGAAGTTGCATATAGGGCTTTTCTAATTCATTGGTTAATAATAGCATTTTAAAATATTGCATATCTTCCTCGAGTGTGTATTCAAACTGTATTTTTGTGTGTTACCAAAATCAATACAAAGAGGCCTACTTTCAGCCATGGTTAGGTGTGCGTGTGTCTGGAGCCTTTATTTATAATAAAAAGTAGACCCCTTGTGGTTACAAAGGGAAATAGAAGCTTAGCGCACAGAGTGGGAGGCGGCAACCTGACCGACAATCACAGACTCCTCAGTTGTTTGTTCTGATCGGAGGAAGACATCAAGGAGCCACAGGACGAAAACAATGGAAGATGAGAGCAAAATGAAGATGAAGGAGAGATTTGGCCTGAGGCGGGTCATCTTTAAGGAGTTCCTGGCGGAATTTCTGGGGACATTTGTCCTGATAGTGAGTACCTCCCTCTGCACCTGTCATCCAGCTTAAACAGCCGCTTTAAAGCTTGGAACCAGTATGCTAATTATGTGTCAAACTGAGTCTCTTGGGACTCTGGCTGCTGTCTCTATTAACACATTATATTCTGGGAATAACAGACTTTCTTTTTGATGTGCTGCAGCTGTAATTAGCTCCTGACAATCATAACAAGATGTGACTGATGTGGGACTGTTTTTTCTTCCTCACAAGTCCTCCAGAAGTGCATTGCAACATAAAAGATGAATCATTTTAATGTGTAATAAGTCATTGTCTTGTTAGTAAGGAGGTTATGAAAAACAAATGAACATGGGATTACATTAATTATAGCAAATGCTCACATTGCAATACAGCTTATATTGCAATACAGAGTATTATAACTGTTTTTCAGTTTTTTGATAATTCCTTGCCAATAATAATCCCTGCTTTTTAGTTATTCATGTCATAGTAATGTTAATTTCTTATTCTGCACTGTCCTTACCTCCACCTCCTGTCACATCTCCACTTAAATGCCTCAGATGCCACAGCAAAAGAGGGATGCAGCTTCCATAATAGTCCTTTTTCATTTTTGGACCCTGCTCTGCTCCCAACATTTGTTTTGGATGTAATTACTCCTCCCTTTGTCCTAATAAGTGGGGGATTCATTATTTTTCTTTGCAGGCTCCAAGTAGGACAAATTGTCTGTGGCAGTGGGAGACTGGTGGTGGACAAGAGGGGTAGTGTTAATGCCGATTATAATTGGAATAATTAAAAACAATGAGTCTTTCTACCTCTTTGTGTTTTGTTCTTGTGTCCCAGCTCTTTGGATGTGGTTCAGTGGCCCAGACGGTGCTGAGTAGAGGGGCTCTCGGGGAGCCTTTGACCATCCACATTGGTTTCACTCTGGGAGTCATGATGGCCGTCTACATGGCAGGGGGGGGTGTCAGGTAAAAATAGCAACATGCACAGCTCACATTCATTACAATACAAAATCATCTAATTTCTCAAATATGGCTACTAATGTTTATTTGCAGAATCAACACATTTGTTGATTAATCAGTCATTAATAGATCTGAAAATTGTTAAATGGCAAGTTTGTAAAGATCTAAGGTGACATTTATATAATACCTAAACAAATGTTCAGTTAACAGTTATATAAATGAGGGCACATATACAAATTCTCACAATTAAGAAGCTGGATCAAAGTGACGTTTTTTGGCCCAGTTGCTTAAAAATGGTTATCAATAGTCATTTCCTCAGCTTTCTAGAAATGAAATGATGAAAGAATAACAAGGAAAAAATTCAATTTTTTTCATTTTGGCCAACAAAAAGCTGCAAACAGGCCAGTAACAAAGGTCGTCTCACAGTATTTGTCTCTGGCAGAGACGCAGTCTTTGGTCATGGATGTCTGTCCGTCTCTTTGCTCTTAAAGCAACAGCAATGATTGTCATCATTGTTTATTGATCTTGATAAAGTGATGGCCTATGAAGACCAGGGTATACTTTTATTATGGACTTCCAGTGTGACATAATGGAGAGCATTCAATAGCAACCTCTTTTCTGGTCTATAAGACAAGATTTACTGACACTAATGGAGTGTATTTCGATACTTTGTTGTATTACCGTCTCCAATGGGCTGATTTTCAGAGCAAATCAGGGCGCTTAAGTTGTAGAGATTTTGTGTCCTGATGTCCAAATGGGACTTTTTCAGGTACATTCCTCCAGGATTACAGCAAGAAGAGCCCTCTGTGTGTTGCCAGCAGTGACAAAGACAGAAAGGTATAGTTGTTAAATGTCACAGTGCTTACCATACGCTTGCTGAGCCAAAATGGTGAGAATCCATTAATCAGCCATCAAGGGATACATTATGTCGAAGGTTGCATTTTGTGCGGGCTTCATGGACTGTTGTGAGGTCATTTCCATTACTGCTGGGACTTGAAAACTCATCATCAAAGAGAGATCGAGCATTTTTTCTCTCCTGTCATGTCTGTTAAACATGAAGTTACAGCTTAGCATAGAGACTAAAACAGGGTAATGCAATAAGACCTACCACCGCCTCTAAAGCTAAATAATTAACATGTTACATTTTATCTGTTTAAGCTGTATAAAAAAAGGATAGCTACCAATAAATATGATATAGAGCCATTTTCACAATAAAAAAAAAACAAGATATAACATGCCAATAGAAAGCTTTAGCGGCACTGGTTGTTGGATTTCATTTTTTTGTAATTTTTTGTCATCAAAGCTGTAGCTCCGTTTCCAGTTTTCTAAGCTAACCCACTCCCGGGTCCAACTATACATGTTCACCCACAGATATTAAACAGTGGTATCCATATTCTCATCTGACGATCTGCAAGAAAGCGAGTTAGCAAGTATCCACATTTTTGTATCTATTCCTTTCAAAACTTAAAATGTCTGTGCTGAACAGACTTTTGAGTTTGACTGAACAGTCTCACAATGAAACATATTCTCCTGTTATGTGTTTTTTAAAGCATGTTTTGAAACCCCCAATGATTTAGGGGGGCACTAATATATTTCTTGTGTTTGAAGAGATTTGCAAATATATCATTGAGAAATATAACCGATAGAGGATGGGAAAAATCATGGAAGCACTTCCAGTCTATCTTGTTGAGGATGGATGGCTGTTGTTGGAGGTCTCTGACTTTCTTGTGCTACATGTTTAATGAGAAGAGTAGTAAAGCTTCAGAGGAATCGCTGCAAATCCTGATGACACGGAGGTTAATATATGGAGAGATTTTGCTGCATGACTGGGCCATTCAGCCCCGGGGTCCACAGCTCAGTGGGAAGCTTCTGTCCAACGACATCTCTGAAGATGATCGTAGGTATTGGACTAATGAGCTTTACTGGGGCATGGGTCTCTGGAGAGGAGGAGGGTCAGGTGTGACAAGCCTGGCTTACTAGGCTTCCCTGGCAGGGAGGCCCCATAAGAGAAGAAAACACAATTGTTTTCACTTTGTAGTCTCAGATTTTACACATCATGGTCACTCTAATGACCTGCAGTCTACGTGTGCCTTAAGCAGATTCAGGCAGATTATGTCAGATGCAATTCAGGCAGGCCGGTCTGGCTGGTTGTCGTGGTCAGTGTTTGTGAACAGGACGGGGAGATTAAGAATGGGCGCATGGCTGATACCCCCAATGGTGTTACCACAGCGAGGTCAAAGCCAAGATCCCAGAGTGTTAAATAAATGACCCCACACTGTCATCACAGCCTAGTAACATTTGGCTGGAATGTGTTCAAACACACCTCTGAAGAACAATGTAGATTCTGACGGCACACAAACCCAGTGCTCTTTGTTTGAAAATATCCAGCAAGTTTTGAATGAATGAGCTGTGGAGGGTTTGACAACAGGCGCTAAATGATCAGACAGCCTTTGTTTTAATCCACTGAACTCAATTTACTTTACCTCAGAAGTGAAGACGTGAAGTTTAAAATGCGCGGCTAAATCATCCTTCTCAGCTTGGTCACAGCTGTTTATCATTTGATTCAGAGTTGAAACAATTAGTGAATGAATCAATAGGTCAATCCACAGAAAAATAAACCTGACTATCATTTAAAGGAGATTACACATTTACACATCAAAGGATTTACGGAGTACTACTGCTTAAGTGAAAGAAATACTTTTATAAAGCTGCAGGAAATCAATTAAATTGCCTCAATTAATCCCACTTGAAGATGAAAACAACAACTTTGAAAATGAACAACATTTTGAGTTGGTTAGTTGAAAGAAGATTACCATCATCGGCAGCTAAATCTAATTGTAGGAAATGTAGAAGCAAAGTTTTGAAAATAAAGATAAAAGCTTGAGATAATTTCTCTAGCAAAAATACGAAATAATTGCTGGTTCCTATACTTATCAAATGTGATAATGTACTGCTTTTAAGTGATATAACAAATAATAAAAGATGTTTCCATATTCCCCCTTTCCTGTCGTATTGATAACAAATCATTTAAAGAGTAATTGTTAATGGAAATAATCGGAATTTCCCCCTTTGTTTTATAAATAAAAAAAATATTAAGTACTTTCGGTCACCTCCAGTTGTTGTTGTTGCTGATGTTGTTAATATTGTGTGTATCCTTGTTGCAGGAGCCCACCTGAACCCTGCAGTCTCTCTGGCCATGGTGATCCTGGGGAAGCTTCATATTAAGAAGTTCCCTGTGTATGTGCTGGCACAATTCCTGGGAGCTTTTGCTGGATCCTGTGCTGTCTATGGGTTGTACTATGGTGGGTCGTGTAAATGTATAAATGATGTCACTAGAAGAACACTGTCAGAAAGGATTACTTGATTATCAGGATAATCTTTTTCTAAAGAGACCCAGAACTGCGTCGACTCTGAAACAAAGTCAAGTTATATGTCTAATTTCACAAGAGAACTCCCTGTATGTTGTATTATATATAAAACACAAATATAATATTGTTAGTAAAACTTGATTTTCTTTTCCATAGATGCTTTGATGGAATATACCGATGGAGAATTTGCTGTTACTGGTGTAAATGCCACAGCCAACATATTTGCATCGTATCCTGCAAAACATCTCTCTGTCCTAAATGGGTTTGTTGATCAGGTAAGGCTTAAGATTGACGTGCATTTTAATAGTAATTCCTCCTGAAAATGAACCATACACCTACATGGAATATAACACAATGACCAGTTTAGCATAAACTGCCTGAGGACATGACATAATTATGTTTTGAATCTTGGATCAACTACTATTTTTGGAATGTTTTATTTGAAATTATTGATGTCAGAGTGATTTTCCAACAGGATTCTCTGTATATTGGGATTACTAGAGCAGACAGAGATGTACATTTAGTGCAGTCATGGATGATCGTAAAGCGTAAATGGACATGGGAGTTGTTTGCTGATGAATAAACAATTCTGCTCTGATGCTAAGAATAACTCCCATCTGTTCTGAAGAGATGAGAATGTTAGTTTATGTATTTGTGAGCACATCATTGGTCTGCTGGGTATTTATTTTCTTTTGATAATATTTCAAATAAAGTATTATCAAAATAAATATTATATATAGGATTAACAGGCATTTCTGATGTAAACAACAGCTGAATTATCAGAAACATTCATTGTTAACATTTAGTTGTAATGTAAAGTTATTACCAGACCTGCCAATTAAATCAAGAAGAAGTAAAGAGGGATATTTGGTAATGGGAATTTGAATCGCAGACAGTTTGCCTTAAGTGGTCCAATTAGAATGAATATAAGTTTTAGATAATTCTGTATGTTTACATGTGAGATGTAGAGCCATATGGGGCTGTGTAGTAAAGCTGCCTTATACAGACTGAAACCAGGGGAAGGGGGAAGCCCCATAATAAGCTTAGACACATAGGGCAGGGGTCACCAGAGCAAATTAGGTAAATCAACAACAACAACCAAACAACCTCAACAACAACTACGAAGAGAGTCATTTCCTATGCTCCTTTATGTCTTGGACTTGAATGTTGTGAATATACCTGAAGTTATGCCCGATGCTTTTGTGTTTAAGGTGATTGCCACAGCCGCTCTGATCCTGTGCATCCTGGCCATCACCGACAAGAGGAACATCGGTGCTCCTAAAGGCATGGAGCCTCTGTGCATCGGCCTCATCATCATGGCCATCGGGGTGTCCATGGGTCTGAACTGCGGATATCCCATCAACCCGGCACGGGACCTCGGACCCCGGTTCTTCACAGCTGTGGCCGGGTGGGGGATGGACGTATTCAGGTACTTTTACTGCCTGATAAACAAAAATCTACCTGTCATCACTCCCGAAAAACATATGTCTTTGCAAAACGACAAACACAAAACATGGAGTCTTAAAGTTCCTAATCTAGAGCTATATTTCAGTGTTTTAAGAAAATAGAAGACTTTTCTTTCTCCTTACTGAGAGAACTAGGAGTCCATTATTTACTGCAGCTCTCTCAGCAGGGCCTGAGGCTAGATGGGTTATGTAAGAAACTGCATTTAACCAAGTGGCTGCTCTCTTCTACACCACATCAAGAGAGCGTTTGTAGCACCATCTCTGATCTCTTGACAATCTGAATTAATATTTCATAGACCATTCGTGTTTTTTCTGCATTCTGAAAAAGGGCTTTAGGATTTGAGTGAACAGGGAGAGATTCCATGCACATAAATATTCAATGCTTCATTACTAGTGGCATCATTTATGTTACTAAGTCTCTTTTTCTTCATATGACCAGAGGTACTATATTTAATGTTATTCCTATTTTATATTTACCAAGCTATTTCGTTTATATACAAAGTCTCACTTTTAACTGATAGATGACAACATTTGCTCGATCACTTAAACTCTAAAACAAACCACATTTTGATCAACAAAAAGGAAAACATCCCACACCAAATTTGCCCCTCTAATGTCCCCAAGTTGTACATTTCAGGTTCTGTCTGCACATTGCAAACAAGAGAGGGGACAAGGTGTACCCCAGTCCAATTTTTACTTTGGACTTTGTCAAGAATGCAAACAAAGCTCTATAACTTCATTTATATAAACCAAATGGCTCGCAACAGCAGACTGTGTATACTTTGCTCCTACAGGATACTAGCTGGAACATTTCCAACATCTGCAAACACATATGGATAAGAAAAGTTGTATGACCTCGTCAGTGACTGTGCAGGGCCAACATGTTGTTCAAATGTTCTTCCTGAGGTCAAGTCTCATTTCCAGTATCTTGATTCAAGCTTTAATTACCACTGAGTTTGACCCCGTTAAAAGTTGGAAAGCATTTCTCACGTTGCCTTTTTCTGAGGATTACAACGTGGTCGGGGCTCTTTGCCAGTTATCTTTTATCCAAAATCGTTGTGACCATGGTGAAGCAAGTTTACTGTAGCACCCAAAAATATCAGCGCTGGTAGAATTTCACGAGTTTATCTCGTCCAGCCTTGGCACCTTTCCAAAGAGGAGCTTTCTCACTAACCGATTAACTCTGCCAGTGACATACTGTAGGCTCAGAGCGCCCAGATCCTCCCAGATCACGTTTAGTTTCCATTTACTTACTTCCACAGATGTAATAGTGTTGTACTTGCTGAGAACAATATCTTGTCTTCTGCTGAAAAGACTAGTACTACCAGAATGCCTCTGAGGTGCTCAAAATATGTTCTCTGTCTGCCCTTTTACAGAAATACTACCTCAGGAATTGGATTTATTTTACTCATATGTTGTCATAAATAGATTTCTGCTGTTTCTGTCATTACCCCTGTTTGTCTCTGGCCCTTTCTTTTTAACCCTCAAAAGTGTGCATTCGACAACTGACAAACATTCAAGTTGGAGAATGTGTAGCCTTCCAACAAAGTACAGAATACAGCTTGGATAATTAGGCAGTTTTCTTATGAAGGCAGTTGTTTAATTATAATAATAGTATTAGTTTAATTTACCTTATTTGGCTTGATAACATAACATAAAGTGGTTGAATGCAAACATAGGTCTTGCTATGGGAAATATACTGTTGCTCTCAGGCTTCGTGTCACAGTTGTAACTATGACCAGATGGCTTATATAACTAGATATATAGAAAGATTGCTTTAATGCACATAATGTAAGCCCTTGGTGCCATCGGGTGTATGTCATGCAAGTGTGTGCTAAATCTCACATAATCTTTTACATTTATTATGCAAATATAGCGGCTTCAAAAGGATGCAGATCCATTGGAGAGCGGCACTTGGCTCCATATAAAGTTCACATGGCGTCAATGTGACCCACTGTCTCCTGGCCTGATCATCTTAACTGTGGCCTTAGATTAAAGTCTGTAATCCAGCTGCTTCCCTCTCAAGTGTACTTCCCGAATGCGTACAGAATAGAAAGATGACCCTGCTGGGATGCTTGTTTAGTTTCAGGGCTGTGTTTCATCTCTGTTAACTGAATCCCTCTCACCTAAAGGCTCCTAACGGCCACATTGACCAGCAGCCCTCTGATCTCTGTCAGAGGTCAGGCAGAGTGAGCATGAGGACACATACAATCAGTCTAACACTCAGAACTCCTTAAGACTGTAATCCTGGATAACACGCGTCCTGTAGGGTGATACTGACATAAACAGATTGGAGAAGCCGTGTGAATCGTTTCATTTAAACTGTACCTCAGCATTAGACCTACAAAGATTGGGGGATTTGAAAAGGACAGATTAAAAAAGCATGGTTAAAAGTAAAGCAGAGGTGTCTGATACGAGTCACGCTGAATCTTCGATTTCCAAAAATGTAACTCAAATTGGTCATAGGTGCAGCGAGAGGAGATTGCATTATTCCACTCAGAAAAAGTTCTTTCAGTCAGTCTTCATTTTCTGTTAAAGCTGCTCAGCAATGGAACTCAATCCCACATCCAATCAGAGACCAGACCACATTCACTTTATTTAAATCCCAACTCAAAACCTGGTTAGTGAGGAATCAGCTCTGCCAACACTGACCCAATCTTCTGCTCCTTACAACCCACCGCCTGTGTTTTAACATGTTCTTTTGTTTTGTTTGTTTTGTTTTAATGTTCTGTATTTTAAATTGCTTTATTTAAGTATCCCAGTAATGTCTGTTGCATGTTTTAAATGTATTGTATTTACTTGTTTAAAATGAAATGTGTTTTAGGTTGACTTTTAAAATCTGTCCAGGGACTACAGATGAAAAATAGCCTCTTGGCTAACTCTGGCACATTTACAGAAATGTTCATTAATGTGCACTGTCCCTGTTAAATAAATGAATAAATAAATAAATAAAAATGTCATTATGTAGGGTAACCGCAACTATGTTTGAGATCCAAGTTACAACATGATGAATTGTTTGTTGTTCTTTTGTTGATAAAACTAAACCGACATGGTCAGCAAAAGTGTATTTAAGAGTTATTAGAAGACTAGTTTGATATTTGATAAATATGCTAATAAGCTAATTCGTGTTCTCGCATGGAGTATGATCAGAGTATGAGTATCAGGGAAATACGGTCAAAATAAAGCTATGGACAGCCTTCTGTTAGCTTAGCTAAGCACAAAGAGCACGTGAGTAAGTGACTTTGACTAACCTAAAAGTAGTCCGCAACCTGATCAACTGTAAACGTGCAATTTTAATGCTTTGGTTTTTTGTAAATATTAAACAAACTGGGGAAAAGGATAGCTGTTTACTTGCTGCAATCTCCCAAAATGTCCAACTATTCCTTGTCAATGCATGGTATTTTTAAACTTGGCAAGAAGACTCAGTGTTTGAATGGGAAAGATTTAAGATTATAATGTTTAAATAGTGCAAGTTTTAGTGTAAATTATATAAAATTCATTGCTAAATTGTATTTTGTCATTACTGATATGTGTTGGTCCTCTCTACAGAGCCGGAGGGTGCTGGTGGTGGATCCCAGTGGCAGGACCCATGGTGGGCGGAGCCGTCGGAGCAGGTGTTTACTTCCTGTTCATTGAGCTGCACCACCCCCAGCCTGAAAAACTGGACGAGAAAAATGCCCAGGAGAAATATGAAATAATAACTATGAGTTAACATTTTAAATAAAGGTTGCAAAGCAAAGCAACCACACTGATTCAACAACTCATTTTCACACTCAGAAAGCAACAAATAGTTTCAAAAAGAAATGTACAGTTAGTGTTTTAACACAAAACATGCACCTGACTACACAATTTTATAGTCATATATAAAATATGCAAAATGTTTTATAAAGCCTTTCTTTTGTATAAAATCTGGTCTGCTTTAGGTTCCAAGTTGATTTGCCTCTGGCTCTTTCATATATCAAAAATATTAATCAGATTATTTTTAGATACCAAGTTTAAACTACCTGAAATGAAAACCTACTTTGGAGATTTCTTATCATTTGCCAAGTTTTCTGTACAGCATTTTGATTTTTGCTATTGTCTACCCAACAAACAAGGGCATTAAATATATGTAGCACCTATGAAACAGTTGATTAGTAATTTATATTACTTTAGCCAATATCTTACAGTTATGTGTTTAGTGGAGTGACTTCCTTCTTCAGTTTCACTTCACCCCTTGCTTATGCGTTAAAAGAGTGGGATTGATTGCTTTATCTTTCTTGCAGAATTGTAATTTTTGTAACACATTTATGAAGAAAATACAGCCTTAAAGGATTGTTTGGCATTGCTTACTTATCATTCATCTTCATAATTTTGTGTCACACAAACTTGTTATTTTGCCGTTTTACAAATTGACAGACACCCTTGATATTGAACAGCCATAACTTCACATGAGGCATGTAAATGTCTGCTTTCTGCAAAGATGTTGATTTTGTTTCCAGCAGAAGCTTTTGCAGAAGTCACTGAGATCCTTGATGGATTGAGTCAGTGCACTTGCTGTATCAGGGGCAATATGCACACACTGACTGTATCTGTTTACATTTAAAACTCTTCTGAGGTCAGGTAAAAGGACACTGATTCAAAATGTATGAGATGAACATGCATTTGTGCATACAATACACTAATTGTAAAACTGTTTTGCATTGCACTGAATGTCTTTTTACAGCACAGGCACTCGTTTGGCAACGTGACAATCCCTTACATTTAATTAGCTAGATTTACATTTGAGAAAGAGAAAAATGTGAACAAAGTCAGAGGAATAACTATTATACTTTTGCCCCTGTATGTGTCCTACGTTTGAATAAGAGTAAGTAAGCATGTTTGATAAGATGTTGAAGGTGAAGTTAAGTATATTATGCATCTCACTGTTGCAAACTTTGTCGTCAGTGCTTCGGTCCTGAGTATTCAGCCAGTCAGGACACTACATTTGAATCTTCTTTTTTTTTTGGTGTTGCTTATTTGCTTTTTATAAAAATTAATCTGCATGAATAAACAACTTTGTTCAGTGTATCTCAAGGTTGAATAAAGTTTGTGCAAAGGATTTGTGTGTCCATATTTATTATGTATATCTTAAAAACATTTTACAAAGATATTACACTATGTATTAATATTTGTATTTGCGATTGTGATGATATCAACGGATTAATAAATTATAACCTCTACTGTTTTTGCTTTTAAAATAAAAAATGCAGTTCAATGTCAAAAATGTGTGCCTGTGAAACAAATTCAGTTCAATTGAAGTATGTGAGCTTTTGCATCTTAAACAAAATCGCATATTGTACCCGTTCAGATGTTTGTTTCACCTAAATCGGCTAAACCTAAAGGTAAAAAAAACAGACATTTTATGTTATTCCTTATTCCAAAAAAATTTCCTGGACTCAACTGGTACACACACACACGCACACGCACACACACACACACGACAAGAAAGAATACAGGCAGAAAGTGCAGCAGAAAAAACATTACATTTAAAACAAGCAGACTGAAAAAAAGCGTACGTATCTTCATTTAGAATAGATGCAGAATGTATTTTTGCAGTTCAATGGCTCCAGGGCTCTCCCAGAGTGCATCCTCTCTCTGACTTGAATAATAACAGCTGGTCATAATAATGGACCACACTCCTATTACACTACAGCAGAGAATTATACTCTTAATTGTGTGTCCTCAGTCTGAAAATGGTTGATTAATTATGATAGTTCTATTAGTATTGCATTTCATTTGTCTGAACTGGATACACTGTTCTATTTGTGTTTATTTGTTAATGAAGCAGTGATTGGCTGCAAAAACGTCATGCAGAGACACAGAAGCATGCACACACACTCACACATTAACACTTGGAAAAGAAAGGGTCCATCATGTTTGCTCTTTTAAACTGTTCCTCTGCAGTTTCTACTCTCTAGCTGTGTACTGAAATGAGGCTTTAAAGAACAACACATTTTAAAATAGTATTCTGTTCATGCTTAATGTAGCACACAGAAGAGGACAATCACTGAAGCCTGAACTATAGAAGCTGTGTGTGTGTGTGTGTGTGTGTGTGTGTGTGTGTGTGTGTGTGTGTGACAGTGTTTTAATTCTGATGTAAATGTCAATTGGAAATCAGAAGACATTTTTTTTTATTTCAGAGTTATACAGAAAAGTCAACTGACATTTTCTTATTTCTTACAGGGTTGCTTTGGTTTGGCTTTTCAATGACTTCTCAATGACCGTTACCTCATTTTCCATGACCAAAAAAAAATTACCACTGAAAATGGTTTATTTGAACATGGAACAGGAAAATAAGGTCTGCATATGAAACATGTTGTGCCTATCTAAAACAAATCAAATAGTAGGCTTACTAGCTTCTACACGCTAAAGCAACTGTAGTCAGGGAGGCAAAGTCATCAGGTATGGAAAAAGGTGACAAGGACCCGAGCCCCCCGACCCCACGGAATATCGGCTTTAAAATGAGGAATAACAGAGGATTTTAGCAGTCAGAACAACTAAAGCAGCAGGTAATAACAGAAACGCCAAAGAGTCACATCTAATAGAAATATATAAAAGCATTTATTTTAATTGTGTAGCAGTCAGTTTATAATTCTGGCAGCACTGTTGAGCATTTTGAAAATGTATTTTCATGCCTCTGTGCAAGGCTTAGTCTTTCTATCTTTATAGCCACTGGTAAGTAACTAAGTTCATAAACTCAACAAGTACTATACTTGGGTACAATTTTGAGATACTTGTACTTTATTTAAGTATTTCAATGTGTTTGCTACTTTGTACTTCTACTCCTCTACAGTTCAGAGGTACATGGTGTACATGGTGTACTTCTACTCCTCTACAGTTCAGACATGGTGTACTTCTACTCCACTACATGTATTTAATACCTTTAGTTACTTTACAGATGTGGATGAATGATGTGAAAAATAATCAAGTGTTAAATCAGACTTTAGTTCCACCTGGAGTAAATTCACAAGCTACCCTGCAGTATACAAAGTACTTCAGACTAGCTGCACCTTTACCAGCTTTGAGAACACTTTCATGATCAATCATTATAAAACATATCATATATATTATTCTGAAATGGACCAATCTGCACAATGACTACTTTTACTGTCGCTACTTTAACTATATTTTGATGATAATACTTTTGTACTTTTACTTGAGTAACATTTTGAATGCAGGACTTTTACTGTAACAGAGTATTCCTACACTCTGGTACTTCTACTTTTACTCAAGTACAAGATCTGAGTACTTCTACTTTTACTCAAGTACAAGACCTGAGTACTTCTACTTTTACTCAAGTACAAGATCTGAGTACTTGTACTTTTACTCAAGTACAAGATCTGAGTACTTCTACTTTTACTCAAGTACAAGATCTGAGTACTTTACTTGTATTAAGTACAAGATCTGAGTACTTCCACTTCTACTAAAGTACAAGATCTGAGTACTTCTACTAAAGTACAAGATCTGAGTACTTCTACTAAAGTACAAGATCTGAGTACTTCTACTCGAGTACAAGATCTGAGTACTTTTGCTTATCTGAGTACTTCTACTTTAACTCAAGTACAAGATCTGAGTACTTCTACTTTTACTCTAGCACAATATCTATACTTATACCACCTCCGTTTATAGCCTATGAAAAAAACTATTAGAAAACGAAGGCTAAAGCTAACGTTAGCAGATAGTGACAATGTATGCTAGCTAGCTAGCTAGCTAGCTCAACGATTGCTCGTTCTAACAGCTGTTCACCAGCGGCTCAGTCTGTGCCACAGTGACTCCGCACAGTTAACGAACGCACCGTAGATAATGTAGCTGACCCTCATCCCGGAGCAGCAGAGTTCAGCCGGCCCGACAGGCAGGAAGACCCGAGTACACAGCTCGCGCTTCATATATTACAAAATAACACCATGCGCGTCATGGTGGCACATAACAGCTCGCGACCGCAGATTATTTCGGCGATTAGATCAAATGTAAATTATATTTGACGCAACTTTAGTTACATTTCCATGACTTTTCCAAAACTTTGGTAAAAATATTGTTTTCCATAACTTTTCCAGGGCCTGGAATTTGCATTTTGAATTTCCATGACTTTTCCAGGTTTTCAATGACCCTGAACCTTGTATGTGTGCTGTGTTTACTGGCATAATTTACCTAGGACAAACTGACCCTTGAAAACAGTCCAGGGAAAAAAGAGAGTTGCAGATTACGATGATTTTAATGATCAATTACTGGATTAGTCGAAAAATAGTTTGGTCCATAAATCTTATCCAAATCGTTTTCGAAAAGATTTCTGTCGATCAACTCATGGATTAGTCAAAGCTGGAAAAGAGTAAAAGTACCTATAACTTGTACCATTAAACTCCCTTGTATAAAAACATCACAAACATAAATTATGATTGGGCTTGATTTGATCAATAATCTCCTGAAATAGCACGCTGAAATCATATGTTGACAATAATTGATTCTGTTGAATCATTAAACATAACAAAATATAACCTTAGTAAATAGTCTAATGTTATTTGAATGAGTACACTGGGTACAAGAAGTTCTCCTCTTCACCTGTTCAAACATGTTTTGCAGCAATGCAGGAAACTTCGAAATATAAAAACTCCTTTGGTCACTCAGGTTTAGTACATAAACTAAATATAGCGTGAATAAGATCATTCTGTACAAACTAGACCAAGAATGTCCTTTTTTGCCCCAACAGGTGGGATCTGAGCTCACCTCTCTCAGCCACTATCAGAACATTGTACCAGATCCCCTCCCAGTTCATACCTTTGCTCTTACACAATTTGTGCGTTCTTAATAGCCCGTCCCCCAGCCAATCAGGATAGGAACAAAAGTCTCCTTATCTACGAACCATTACTCCTGGTGACCCCTCTCTTTATGCACAGTACAATGTGTTTCACACTAACAGAAATGATGATTCTTTGAAAGAGCTCCTGTCTCTACTCCTGCAGACTAAAGGATCTCACCACCAGACTCCATATTACCTGCTTTTCCATCAGGAAAGATTTCAACCTGTGGGAGAAGTGTTGAAAGGGATTACCCAGGTGTCTGTGAAGCACCATGACTAGGTTTAAAATCCTGTGCGGTTTGCTGCTCACGTATCACCTCAATGATGGAAAGAAAATCAAAGGACACAAAGGTGAGTGATAAATTACGTATAAATTATCCAAAAAAGTGTGATCAAAGACATTTCTTGCAACTTCCTTGATTAATTGAAAACCAAAATAATATTGTATGACTCCCAAAAAGCCATGTCATACTGTCAGTTCACATCAAATCATGTAATCAATATCACCCACTCTGGTGACAGTTTTGGAACAGGAGTGGCAAAATACAGTTCAAAGGTATGGCCTTTATACTCCTTTAACATATTAAATATCATACTTTCTTTTCTGAAACAATATGATGCTGATATCATTGGGATGTATGCATTTTTCTAGTTCTATCTTGTCTTATTGTTAAATTTGAATACTATCTATTCTAAATACATTAATTACCAAACAACTGATAACATTATCTGACAAAACTCAATAAACAAGACGGAGCTTTTATCTCCTTGTATTCTCACATCTCTTTCTTGTAAGATTGTAAAACACTGATTTTGTTTTGTGTCAAAGAGTACTGTTTTGGTATCAGGCCAAAGCCAACTGGCAATTCTCCAGTCTAAAAATAAATAAAATGGAAAGGCCAAGGACAAATGTGTGATGCCATTCATGTTTTCAAGGAATGGTGAATGAACTGTTACACAACTTGACACTGTTTTGTCGTTGCTGTAAATAAAGAGGATGCAATAAGCCAACAGTCAAGACGTGTTGCTGGGTTTTAGCACTTTTCTAAAATAATGGTTTGTTTTTGTATTCAATCCGATTCAACATTTGCTTCCACTATGTAAATATAATGTCCCCAAAGTTTTCTTCCAACGATTTGTTTCTGTGAATGAACACATGCAAGAGGATAACGTTGAATTAAGAGGAAAGTTTTCATAGCACAGTGCAAACAAACAACACTGTGCATTTGTTGTTTT